AAATCAAATACTCTCATTATTGCGACAAAGAAAAGGAACTTCAATTCTAGAGAAGTTCGATTTCTCCCAATCAAATGTATCTCAACAAGAGATCACTAATATTCACTATGAAATCATGTTTATTTGAAAATTAACAACCAAATGATAGTTGCTTCAAATAAAACTCTCCTAAAATTAATTTTTTCTGTCAGTGTGTACTATGCTATTTCGCCAATTTATTATTAAACTATAACTGTCTTCTATTCAGGCATTTAAGCAAATCATGCTGAATATGAACCCATTGACTACAATATTCTTCATTCAATCATTGGAGAAATGATTAAGATTCCAAATCGCAAATATCGCAATAATTCACGGACTCTTGGTTATGACTGAACGCAATCTACTCGTGTACGTAGACTTGTGCAATTGGAAATACATTGGAGTGACTTCGAGATAATCTTCCGCAATTTATCAATATGTTCATAAACGCATATTTGATCAAATCGCGCTTGACTAATTAGTGTCACGGATTGTAAAAACTGTGGATAATTTCGAACATGGGAGAACAGTGATTATCCGGAATAGAGTGCACTGAGATGACCACACCTACACGCCTACACACATGATCTATTCGAAATCCATTTATCTTGGATTGCCCGACATTTTTTATCGTTGATACAGCCCACGCACCTGCATTATTAGTGTTGAAATCACATTTACCGGACATCTTGTGACTGATTAGGCTATTGGCAAATTACTTTTGAAGTTTCCAATCAAGAATCCTGAAATTTTTCGCAACGACACAGGAAAAACAAGTGGGAAATTGCTTTTTCATCACTTGTGCGTAAAGTGAAATGCACACATTCAATCTTTCCACATATTGTGATGAAAAATAGGGTTCGACACTCGTGGGAAAAGGGTTTTTTAATACTTGGGAGGCTAGCACTCGCCTGCGGCGAGCGCTACACACCTCCCACCGTTCAAAAAATACTTTTTCATCACGCTGTGACGAAAAGTGAACTTTTCGGCACGCTCCGCGTGCCTAAAAGTCCAATTTCCGCCACATTGTGATGAAAAATATTGTTCGTAACTCGTGAAAAAATGTTTTTTAGCTCGTGGGATTATGTCATTCGCCTTCGGCTCGTGATATAAACCTCCCACTCGTCAAAAAATACTTTTTTGCACTCGTTACGAAATATACTATTTTGCACTCGTTACGAAATATACTATTTCGTGTCACGGGACCTGAAAAACCCCATTTTAATCAATTATTTTTGTCCATTTTTGAAAATGGAGTTTTTCAGGTCCCTCGACACAAAATAGTATATTTCGTAACGAGTGCAAAAAAGTGTTTTTTGGCGAGTGGGAGGTTTATATCACGAGCCGAAGGCGAGTGATATAATCCCACGAGCTAAAAAACATTTTTTCACGAGTTACGAACAATATTTTTCATCACAATGTGGCGGAAATTGGACTTTTAGGCACGCGGAGCGTGCCGAAAAGTTCACTTTTCGTCACAGCGTGATGAAAATTAATATACACACCTCGCCATGGAAAACATATCACCCTCCCCCGCGTGCAAGATTGCCTTCCGAGCCGAAGGCAAGACT